GTATAATTAGTGACTTTGAGCATGTTTTCATATGTCTTTCGGCCTTCTGTATGTCCTCTTTCGAAAGTGTCTATCTAGGTCGTTGCCCATTTTTTGATTGAACATGGTGGCTTCTTGACAAATTTCTCTGTGGAGGCTCATGTCACCTGCTAACATCAACATCTCTTATGATGCATTGTGGTTCATAGTGACAGGTGTAATGTCTTTCATTTCTTTACAATTTGAGGCTTGGTTTGTTTGTGTGTGTTTTCCGTTAGTATAGTTAAAGTTTTTCCAATTTTTTATCTTTCAAGAAATACCTGTTTGGTATTCTTGTATTTTTTCTTGTCTCCTTTTATTTATGTTTGTTCTAATATTTATTGTTTCTTTCTTTTGGAACCTTTGGGTTTACTTTCTTGTTTTGTTTCTTGTTTTCTGAACTTCCAGTATTTTTGGAGGTCTTTTTTCATAATGTAGGCATTTATCGTATAAAATTGCCTCCTCGAATTGCATTTTCTGAATTTATACATGAGCTTTGGTAAGCTGTCTTTTCATTTACTTTGTCTCTAGACCTTTTTCAGTTCTCTTTTTTATTTGGCTACCCTGGAATTCTTATTTATTTTTTTATATTAAGTTTCAGATAGAGAGGAAGAGATCATAATTATGCTAAGTAAAATAAGCCAGTCAGAGAAAGATAAATACCACATGATCTCACTCATTTGTGGAATATAGAGAACAACATAGACTGATGAACAGGGAGAGAGAGAGAGAGAGAGAGAGAGAGAGAGAGAGAGAGAGAAAAGCATCACTGTGAGGGAGAAACATCGATCGATCGGTTGTCTACACACATGTCCTAGACGGGGCATCGAATCCAAGACCCGGAGTGTCACAGGACCGTGCTTGAACCAACTAAGCCACACTGGTAGTTGTTTAGCATATTTTTTATAGATGTCAGGGAGGAAGGGAAAGGAAGAGAGAGATAGAAACATCAATGATGAGAAGAATCATTTATTGATTGCCTCCTGCACGCCCCCTACTGGGGATCAAGCCCACAACCCCGGGCATGGGCCCTTGACCAGAATCCAACCTGGAACCCTGGGGTTGGAATTGAACCCAGGACCCTTCGTTCTACAGGTCTATGCTCTAGCCACTGAGCCAAAATGGCTGGGACCATTCTGGGGGAGTTTATTTGTTTGTTTGTTTTAATATATTTTATTGATTTTTTACAGAGAGGAAGGGAGAGGGATAGAGAGTTAGAAACATCGATGAGAGAGAAACATCGATCAGCTGCCTCCTGCACACTCCCCACTGGGTATGTGCCTGCAACCAAGGTACATGCCCTTGACCGGAATTGAACCTGGGACCTTTCAGTCCGCAGGCCGACGCTCTATCCACTGAGCCAAACCAGTTCGGCCATTCTGTGGTTTTTAAAAGCAAAATTTCCAGTATTTTTTGAATGAAAGGCCACTATGGTCAATGATAGTAGCAGCACAATGGTTGATGGAGTTAACTCTGACCCTTGTTTTTGACTGTAGCTGTCTTCAAATATATTTGTTCACCCAGTCTTTCCAGTCATCCTTTCTATGCAGTTGTCCTTATTTGATTTTCTATATTACTGTTATGCGGTTTTGCCTGAATAAGGGGCTGTAACAAAACACCTGGGATTTGTTACATTCATAACTAGGAACCCATTTGGTTCTACATTGTTTTGTTAACCATTGCCCATTCCTCAACCAATTCTTCTTCTTCTTGCTTCTTGTTGACACTTTGCCAATGACACAGTTTTAATAGTGATCAGTGCTCATTCTCCTTGGATTCCCAGTCCATGGATAACCTAAGCTCTCTAAACTTTTCACCTCTACCTCTTTCACAGGTCTCTAGTCTTGGGAAACATTTTCCACTTGACTGAGCTGCAGGGAATACAACGCAGACAGATACTGTTGAGGTGCGGGGCGTGTGCACAAGGATTTTATTTCAGTACAAAATTTCACCTGCAGCATGTGAGAGAGCAGACTTTCATTAAAGGTGTGGACAGGATCTCACTTGCAAACAGCTGCAATTTCCAGGTATCTCAAAATCATGTCACCTGTGGGGAGGTGGTGCAGGGTGTCCTTACCGAGTCAGGACATCTCCACCTAAAGGCTACTCAGACCAGTGATAGGCCAGAAGATATTTTGAAATGTGGGGTGAACTTTCAAAGTGGAGAAGAATATAACAAGGTCATTGGCTGCAATCACACGTTTATTCAGGACAACTGTGTCCATGCTGGAAGTCAGTGTTTTCCATGCTATGAATGTGGAAATCACCTTACCCAATTTTCTAGCTTTTATGAACATGGAGAAAAGCCTTACAAATGCAGTGAATGTTGGAAATCTTTTACGACGATGCATAGCCTTCATTGTCATCAGAGATTTCACACTGGAGAAAGGCCTTATGAGTGCAGTGAGTGTGGAAATTCTTTTACCAGTAGCACTGCCCTTCGTCGTCACCAGAGACTTCACACTGGAGGAAAGCCTTACAAATGCAGTGAATGTTGGAAATCTTTTAAGAGAATTGAAAGCCTTCACTGTCACCAGAGATTTCACACTGGAGAAAGTCCTTTTGAGTGCAGTGAATGTGGGAAATCTTTTACTAGGAGCAATGCCCTTTGTCGTCATCAGAGAGGTCACAGTGGGGAAAAACCTCATAAATGCAGTGAATGTGGGAAATCTTTTGCCACTAGCAGTGAGCTACATCGTCATCAGAGAGTTCACACAGGAGAAAAGCCTTATAAATGCAGTGAATGTGGGAAATCTTTTACAAGAATTGATAGCCTTCATTGTCACCAGAGATTTCACACCAGAGAAAGTCCTTATGAGTGCAGTGAATGCGGGAAATTTTTTATCAAGAGCAGTGGCCTCCATTATCAAAGTTTTCACACTGAAGAAAAGCCTTATACATGCAGTGAATGTGGGAAATCTTTTACCAGGAGCAGTGATTTTCATCTTCATCAGAGAGTTCACACTGGAGAAAGGCCTTATGAGTGCAGTAAATGTGAGAAATCTTTTACCACTAGCAGATACCTTCTTTGTCATCAAAGAGTTCACACAGGAGAAAAGCCTTATAAATGCAATGAATGTGAGAAATCTCTTACCAGGAGCGATCATCTCCTATATCATCAGAGATTTCACAGTGGAGCAAGCCATTATGAGTGCAAGTAATGTGAGATATCAGCAATTTTTAAAAATTATCTCTGCATAAAAGAGTCAAATTATGCGAAATTTCTTAGATGTGTGGAAAATGTTCCTTAGTTCAGTCTTAGCAATAGTATTAGAAAATTTGTGAAGTCTCATCAATCTGAATTGTAGCTCGTACATTTAATCACCTGCATTATGTAAAGTCCTCTCAAGTGACTTTGTTGTTGTGTTTTGTTTGTTTTTATGTTGGTATCATATGATATGTATCTATGTTACACTTTCTAACATACAGAGACATGTAGCCAGATCTATGTCACTGCATATTTCTGTTGCTGAAGGTATTTCACCTGAACCACCTATAAGGTCCCTACAGATGGCATCAGTCACCATCCTGCTGTGCCCAGGGATGCTAAGTTTTTTTAAAAAAAGAGCCTAAGTCATCAGTGAGAGAACTGCCAGTCTCCTGTCTCTTTGGTTTGTAAAATAGTTCTTTCTTCTTTCCCTGTCATGAGTTGCCATATATGACTCGTCATAATGTTGCAGAGGGACTGCCATTTTCAGGGACACACTTTCCCTAGATGCTAATAATGACTTTATTAAGAGCCTAAGTCGCCGGGACCGGTTTGGCTCAGTGGATGGAGCGTGACTGCGGCCCCTGAGAGGTCCCAGGTTCGATTCCGGTCAGGGGTGTGTACCTGGGTTGCAGGCACATCCCCAGTGGGAGTTGTGCGGGAGGCAGCTGATCGTTGTTTCTCTCTCATCGATGTTTCTGGCTC